TTTGTTCTTATGGCAGGAGACTTTAACGCACAACACACAACTTGGAACTGTAACTTCAACAACGCAAACGGAAACAGACTTTACGAATACCTGACCGAATACAACACCACAGACGCACAACTACACTTTCCTGACACGCCGACCAGATACGCCACCGTACAGACGCACCATCACAGTACGATCGATTTGGCATTGACAAAAAATCTACACGTAACATCCGAACCCATAACAAGAACACTTTTCAACTCTGACCATAATCCAGTTTTCATGACCATTTCAGACAGACTAGACGTCGACCAGACCCCCACACGCAAATTTTTAGATTACACCAGAGCCAACTGGCCAATTTTCAGAGACATCATCACAGACAACACACGACACACTATGCCAATCGATACCAACACTGACATTGAGGAGGCTGTAACACACCTTACACTGACAATCACAGACGCCGTACAACAGACTATACCGACACTAGACTCAAGAACAACACCAGCCAACGACTTGCCAGAACACATTTTATTGAAAATACAACTTAAAAATCATATAAAGAAACTGTGGCAACGTACCGGTGACAGACTACTCAAGGAACATGTGAACAGACTGACAAAAATTATTACCAATGAAATACGTGATCACCGAAACAACACTTGGACCAAAAGACTCGAGAACATAAATACTGACCCACACAAAATTTGGCAGACAGCAAAAAGACTGACGCAAAAACCAACATCCATACCTCCACTCAAATTAACTGACAACAATTACGCAACGACACCAGCAGACAAGGCGGAAATATTGGCAAAAAACTTTGAAAACATACATAAACAAAATGCCAATATGTCAAACGCAGACCTGAAACAAGACGTACACGAGACAATTCAAAACTTCACTGACCTCCACAGGGACAAAGACTTACGAATAGACCCTGCCACAGTTTCTGAAATAAAGACAATAGTTAAAAAATTACCGAACAGAAAAGCACCGGGACCGGACGGACTACAAAACATAATACTTAAACAACTGCCGACAAACGCCTACATTTTACTTACCCGGATAATAAATAGAATAATGACAAAAGGCTGCTTTCCCGCTTCTTGGAAAACCTCCACCATATTTCCAATAGTGAAGCCAAGGAAACAGCCAGACATACCACAGAACTACAGACCGATCAGCCTCCTCAACACAATGAGTAAGGTAGCCGAAAAGGTACTACTCAAAAGACTTAACAAACACATAAGACACAACAAAATCATACCTGACACACAATACGGCTTCAAAGAACGACACTCCACACTACACCCACTGACAAAACTCATAGAAAATACTGTTCTCAATTTTAACAGACGAAACCATACCGGATTGGTGTTGCTTGATTTCGAGAAGGCGTTTGACACCATCTGGATGGACGGACTTATACATAAACTCATACAACTGAATTTTCCACCATACATTACAAGAACATTACACTCATACCTCTCAGACCGTAACTTTACCGTACAAGTAGACAACGGACTTTCGACGGTTAAACAAGTGACGGCGGGAGTACCGCAGGGCTCGATCCTGGGACCGTCACTGTTTAACGTCTACATTCACGACATACCCACTGACGCCGACACCACCTTACTGACGTTTGCTGACGACACTGCCATATACAAATCATCACGATCACCGACGCTACTGACTACAAAGATACAGACACACATAGACAAGCTGACGAAATATACTGACAAATGGCAGATCAAGATAAATCCGCAAAAGACGGAGGCAATTTTATTTACTAAGAGCCGAAATGCCATGACTAGACTGACTGACTTAGACAAAATTAAAGTATTAAACTGTGAAGTTGAGTGGTCCAAAGATGTCAAATATCTTGGTGTGACCCTGGACCATAGACTCAGCTTCACAAAACATATTAATACGAAAATTGGACAGGCTTACGGGATGTTAAATCTACTGAGACCTCTCTTGAACCACAACGGCCCGCTAAGCGTGAAGAACAAGCGAACACTTTACTTGACACTGATAAGACCGATACTGACATACGGCGCTCCGGCATGGAACGCGACGACTAAGACTAACTTACGGAAACTACAGACATTACAAAATAAGACACTACGACTTGTACTCAACAAAATAAGGGACCCACTGACTAGACATTACTACTCTTCAAAATACATACACAAACAGACTGACGTACCGACAATACTCGACTACATAAAAAAGCTCACTGAGAATTTTTATCTAAAATGTGGGGATCATCCTAATATGAACATCGCGGGCCTCGGCCAATACACAAGAGATGATATTTGGTATGGCAATCACGCCATGCCAAAATATATACTGATCGACCCATAGCGGCAATTGAAACTTGGCTCGACGCAAATATTCTCCCTCAAAGTGAATAAATCTTTTTTTGTTTTTCTCCTTTTTGAGTTATTATGTGTTATTATAAATAGTGCTAAGTGATTTTTTTTGGGGAATAAATTTTCTTTCCTCTTTTTTGTCACAGAATTATGTCACAACTTGTATATCTGAAATACTTATTATTGTATTGATAGAACAAATATGAAGGATGAAATACCTACGGGTAAAAATCCAAAATGAGAAATGCTATGTACACATATATATCTACTGAAATATATTTATTTATTATTAAAAAAAAAAAAAAAAAAAAAAAAAAAAAAAAAAAAAAAAATAGTAAAAAAAATTTTTGGTCAAAAGTTTTGGGAAAAAAAAATTGGGAAAAAAAATTTAGAGAAAAAGTATTGTACAAAAAAATTTTTTACCAGAAAATTTTTCGGAAAGGATCTGACTAACATTTTCCTAGCTGTACTGCACGTCGTGTGCTATTGATGAATTGAAATTTTCAAGTTAGCAACGGTTGCAATGGTAACCGTCGCTAACATAAAATTACCCATACATTTCTTTAATCAGAATATAACAATTATTTATTAATTAATATTATTATTGTATCACTATTTGAAATAAATAATTAGGTACGGTGCAAATAATTACTTATCATTAGTAGCTACAAAGTGTAAGTAAATATTATTGTTATTCATATTGATTTAATTAAAAAATCCATGCGAGCAACGGTAACCATGGATTTGTCAAAAACAAATTTGGGAAAAAAAATTTTAGAAAAAAAATTTTAGGTCAAAAAATTTTAGAAAAAAAAATTTTTGGTCAAAAAATTTTGTTCAAAAAAAATTTGGTCAAAAAACGTTTGGTCAAAAGAATTTTTTGGTAAGAAAATTTGAGTAAAAAAATTTTGGGCAAAAAATTTTTTGGTCAAAAAAGTTTTGGTCCAAAAATTTTTGGTCAAAAAAATTCTGGGAAAAAACTTTTTGCTCAAAAAAAAATTTGGGAAAAAAATTTTTGGTCAAAAAATTTTGTTCAGAAAAAGTTTGGTAAAAAGAATTTTTTCGAAAGAAAATTTGAGTAAAAAATTTTGGGCAAAAAAATTTTTGTCAAAAAATTTTTTGGTCAAAAAAATTCAGGGAAAAAAATTTTTGGTCAAAAAAAATTTGGGAAAAAAATTTTTGATCAAAAAATTTTGTTCAAAAAAAGTTTGGTCAGAAGAATTTTTTGGAAAAAAAATTTGAGTAAAAAATTTTGGGCAAAAAAATTTTGGTCAAAAAAGTTTTGGTCCAAAAATTTTTGGTCAAAAAAATTCTGGGAAAAAAATTTTTGGTCAAAAAAAATTTTTGGACAAAAAATTTTGGTCAATGCGCAAATCTGAGAATCGAGACACAAATATTTTACACGACTTATTTAAACATCATTAATAATTAATGACCAAAGTTTTAATACCCGCAAAGGCACATGCATTCTATATTTAAGAGAATGTGCTTTTTCACTCAATTCAAACATGTCAAAAAAATCCACGCTTTTCAGTCTATTCAATCTTGGCAAAAAAAAATCTAAGTTTTTAAGTCGGTTGCGCCTTACATTTTTCAGTCAATTAAATACAGTTGTTTTACATTTTAATAGTAAATCTGTCTGGCCCAGGTGACTTTCTAGAATTTGCTTTAAGGTATTAAATCAAAGAACAATACTTATTTGATTCTGAATCAATCTGAAATTTTTTTCATCTAGAATAATAAAGATGTTTAAAAATTTACCTCTTTCTTTATGTACCTCCAAGATTTTATTCCGACACACTCACTCAATTTCTCTCAATAATATGTATATATTAATAATTTATAATATGATGAATAGTTGTTTAACTTCACATGTATGCAAGCGCATATGAAATTATTATCTGATTTTGCTAATAACAGTGTGGACACGCAACCCCACAAACAACAATCCGCCACTTCATGATCCTCAAAATATAATTTTATAATTATCATTTAATAATTTCGTTTTATTGATTCTCCAAACAAAAAATAAGAAAATAAATCATTTTAAGCTATATATACATATATAAAATTTAAACTGTGATTAAACGGTATGGGCGCCTTTCCATGCACCATCGGATCCACTGACGAGATAAAAATCCGTTATACTAATTTTCAATTTTCTCCCTCATTATTTAGCCTAGATATTGAAAACACATGAAAAGTCGCCACTTATTTCAAACTAGTTTTATGTTGTAACTGTAAAATATATTGAAAAAAAAAATTGACAAAATCTAATGACAAAATGAATTCAACAAAATTTAAATAATTTTTCATTACAGTGCTGTTGTTTGTATTGACTCTTAAATAGTATCATTCAAAGGCTTATAATACTCAAAATATCATTTAATTACATTTTTGTGCAGCAAGCACAATAAATGTAAGCAAGCTAAAGTGTTGCGTTAAATAAATATAAAAATATCAGTATTAAAATTAATTTGGAATACCAGATTTTGTTAAATGTTTAGGAAGTTTAATCGTAATGTTTTGATGGCACATTAATTGTGATTCATTCTTAAAACTCATCATTTTAGAAACATTAAAGTGAAACATGGCCCATAAAAGGTTGGAAAGTTTGATTAATAATCTTGATTTATAGGTCTGATTATATTTATTCAATATATTATATAATTTATATATCTAACAACATGCTATAAAGACTGGTAATATAACACACATCATTCGCTGTAACTTCTTCAATTTTAATTTATGTAAGATGTTGAAAATTCAAATTACAAGTGCTGCCACTGAGTAGCAACTGTGGCTAAATTAGTATTAGTTTCTATAGCTCTAGAAATAATTTCATGTATGCCGTGGCCTAGCCATATGTGCTGTAATTTTTGGAACTTATCAGCACATAATGTTAAAGGATTTCCTCTACGTAAACCTTGATCAGTCTCCCCATACTCATCCAAATAAGGCGGTGACACAAAGCATCCTCGGCTGTGAGCAGATAAGAAAAGAACTTCACACTCTCTCACTCTTAGAAAAACACCTGCTCCCGCCCCACAAACTTGGCTATGATAAGTGCATGCTCCAACAGGAGATTTTTCCAGCTCGGTTTGACAACAATAACTCTGAGAGCACAACATTAAACCACACACTAAACACATAGTTGGATTTCGAGAATCATCTCTTTCACTATTGGGACATGTAAATAATGATACAGCATTAATTAATTCACTATAATCATTAGGTAACTTCACAAGTTTGGGAACAACTATGGGTTGTATAACCAAGCCATCTTTCATATCAGTTTGTAATCTTACAGCAACATTCTTGTTAGAACACCAAGTTTTGGCTAAGTCTTTTGCATAACTATAACTAACCATTTTATTAATATTACTTTCTAGTCCTAAGTAATCACATAATTCCTCATAATTACCCAAACTTTCCGTTAAACTATTAGGTGCTGGAATATCTGTTAGAAAATGGTAAAATATTGCACAGCACCGTAAAAATGGCATGCAAGCGTGTTTAACATTTTGTTCTAGAGAATTTTCATTCAAACTCGTACTTAATTTGCATATCCTTTTTATGAATCTGGCATATTCTACTATTTCTGTACAATTGTGTTCAATATCCTCTGTGTCCATATTTGAAACATCCATATCAATTGTGATTAATATTTTTACAATGTGTGATAAGAAGAGTAAATTGAGAAGGTGGTGATCTAAAGTTCCACCACAGGCAATAGCACACTGATCATATTTGCAGAAAAGACTGGAAATAGTAAATGTCAATGGTACAAGCATGCTAAAAGTGTCCCATTCTAAAATACAAGGACCACTCACATCATCCATCAGTACTTTTAAAAGCAATATTGAGAAATCACCATGAAAGTGATATATTGATGGTGTAACACCACAAAGCCTAACTAAACTGCGTATGCAATCCCTTTGTCTGCTAGATAAATCTCCTAGGAGTGACTTACGCGAATCTCTTAATAATATTTCCAGAGACAGAATAGTGTATGTGCAAGTTCTAAAACACATCATTGGCTCATTTAATCTAGTTGAAGATGTGAGTGACTTGACTGTACTCGCTCTGGCAAATAGTGTAAGAGCATCAATGATTTCTTTGCTGAATTTAATTGCACTAAATGTAGGAAATAGTCTTTGGAAAGAACAGCCCACATCTGTCGATAAACTATCTGTAACAGTTTGTAATTGTGGTGGTTTAATAAGTTCAGTTTGCAATGTTAGACCTTCGAGAACTTTCTCTTTATGTTCACCAAATAATTCATCAAATTCAACCAGTTTATCATCAGTATGACGTTCATGCAACACCAACGATAATGAAACAGTTTGCTGTATGCATTGTACAAATTGTTCAAAGGTTAAATCAGAAACTACATGATTATTAGGTTGAATATTGTATAAAGGAGGTACTACGGGTATAACAGTGTTTGTGAGGCATTCACAAAGAGGACAAAGAAATTCCTTTTTATCCACATCATAACTGGAGAGTTGACGTAATCTGTACGGCCTCCTTGCTTCAGAAGCACTGATAGATTGCATTTGATTATTCCAACAAGAGCTATGCATAACATGTCCACAAGTGCTAGTATGAGCCGCTGAACCAAGGGCAGGACTTAAAAAATAAGGACTTTCCTTGAATGCAAGTTTTGAGTCTAATCCTCTGTGCTGGAATAACACAGTGGATTGCTGGACAAAAGCAGATAGTACCAAAGGTGGTCCATCAACAGAAACAATACTATCCTCTTGACAAAGAATACAGGTGTACTTCTGTTGTTCAACAAATCTAAAAGTTTGATTAGGTCCTAAACATATTGGTTGTTGTGAACTATCTGGAATAACATTATCAGCTTCTATTAGGTTATCACTAGTTCCTGTGCTTTCCTCTGCTTCTGCTGCAAAAGCATCTGCATTTTTTTTCATAAAATTTGTCTGTAGGGATGCCATTTGAGCCATAATTTTCGCTCTTTGCTGTGCTGCCATTTTTGTACGCCATTCCTTGCTAGATACATTAGACTCAGAAGTAGAAGTGTCCAAAGTAGGAGTCTTTTCCAAACTGGCAGAATCACTAGTCATCTGCTTATACTTTGTAACTACCCAAGTTAATAAATCTTTATGAATTTCCACCTAATACAAGATCAAAAATCAGTTTTGTGTTTCATGAAGTATGGTAATATAAAAAAAATTATTACCCGAGGGCTATTCACTAATTGCTCCAAATACTTTAAAATATTCCACTTTTGAGCTCTAGTTGTAAAAGTAAAATAAGGATAATTCTGTGACTCTTCCTCCTGCAAGGCATATCCTATAAGATGTACTATCTATAAAAAAAGATGCAAAAATTTATGGTTAAATTAATGTAAAGTATATAACAATTAATTGACAAAAATCTTATGTACCTTATGTAATTGTGTTTCCGAAAAACTTCTAGCTCTTAAGTCAATGCTTCGAGTAAGGACAGTTTGCATAATGAATAACATAATATCGCATTGTAGTAAATTACTTAAAATGCTGAAAAATAAATTTTTATTGGGATGTGAAATTATTTAATTACCCATTAATTTAGTTTTAATATAAAAGAACTTTTAAATAAAATTAAAAATATTTGTTTATACAAGGTGATAAAATATGTACTATATCATTCCAAATTTTTTTTCAAATCAAGAAAACAAACCACTTTTTCAAACATTAAATGATAAATTTCAAAATAAGTTCATATTTAGTCAAAAAATATACAAACATCCTACAAAATAATTATGACAAAGGTATGTATGCATGCACATATGTATGTGAATATATATATATATATATATATATATATATATATATATATATATATAACTAGCAAACCCGACGAACTCCGTTTCGCCACCAGATGGTTTCGTGGGAAAGATAAAGAAATTTTTTGTTTGTTCTATATTTGAAAAGGAAAAATTTGATTTTATTACAAAAATTGAAGTGTTTTTTAGTTGAACTTCTCTAAGTAAATGAATGTAAATCCGCAAATTATCCGTTTCATTGAAGTGCTCTTTGGTAAACCACATTTTTTGTTTTTTGGTCTGACGTTAACACAAACAAAGGGGATGGTTTTCCAACTCGTGAACAGGCAACATATAAATGCCCATGTGAAAAACAATAATTTTCTAAATAATCTATTTGAAATTTATCCCGCAAACACTAAGCAATTGGCCTTGCGACTTGTTATTGCGAACAAAAGACGAACTGGAAATTGCAATCGTTTGAAGTCAAACGGAGGACCAGTCAGAATCATTGGTATGTCACCAAATCGCCAGCAATTTTTGATTGAATGGTGAAATTCAGTGCGTGTACATCATATTTCTTGGCGGCAAGAATTGCTCGTTGACTTAACCAAGCATAATTCTGATAATTCTCACTAATGTCATTACTCGAATTTTTAATTACGGTGCGTGAAGTTCCAGCAATTTGCATTAGGGCACGATGCCATGCACCACTAATTTTCTTAGCTATAAACCTTGCGGAGCCCGAGACCTTCCCAAAGAATGCAAAATTGTCGAAATCAATTAGAGTTATTTCGTCAGGAAGAAAAACCCGACTTTTTTTATATATATAGAAGATATATATAAAAATGTTTGTGGTTTTATTTATTTTATAAATATATATGCATGATATCAAAGTAATTAAAACATTGAAATTAAAATTATTCAGTACTAAGAATGTTGTTTTTAATTTTTATTTAGTAACATAATTACTTAGCATACCTGAAAGAATCTTTCAATTTAAGCAACTTGGGTGGAGGACAACATTCCAATTGACCAGCTGCCTTCCGTCGACTTCTTTGAGTTTCTTCTGATAAAGAAAGCTCTTCACGAGTGTAGTGATAAAAGAATACATTATATTCATCAAAGAATTCTGGTTTTAATTCGTATATACCTTTTCCACCCGAATTTGTAGGTTTATTAAAATTAGCTACCTGGTCTATAACATTTTCCAAACCAGTTTCATGGTGTATGTCATCTGGTAATGTTTTGTTGAGTTCTGAGTGAGGCATTGGCCTAATACAAAGTTGTTGTATAATTTCTTTTTTAATTCTATCATCATTAGTGCAATGGCTTATGCCAGGAACATGTCTTTCACCAATTATAGTAATTAAAAGTCCTAAAAACTCTTCGACAAGGTTAATAATCTGCCGCATTGTGTCTTCTTCAGGGTTCCGAACTAAACTTTTTCTCTCAAAGTTTGGATCTATCCAATTCAATAAAGTGAATTTATGCAGAACATGAATTAAAAATTCATTGCTTTCTATCAAAGTAGCACCAATTTGAAGTAACACAATGTCTTTATCTAACATTTCTGACCTACATTTTACATTGTGATAAAAATACACTTGATTTAACAGGGAATACCCATTCCTACGCCACATTCCTGCATTGACTTGTGCAATCAATGCTTGTGTTCTTAATACTGGTTCTATTATATGTTCAGGTGGTACAGGTTTAATTGTTCCTGTAAGTTTATCGCTATAGAAGCTCAAATTAAACTTCTCTAAATTCAAGTGCAAACCTGCAAGAAATCTAGATAAAGGTAAATGTATGGAAACAGGTTGAGATGATACGTCATAAACTATGCACGATGCGCTATGGTCAACCAACTCATGAACTTTAGTAGTTATATCTGAGTCCATATTCGATATGAGCTTTTTTAAAGTGCATTTGTAAGCATTTAAAAGAACAGCCATATCTGTTGAGCACCATTCTAGCATCAAAGTTATGATATGTGCAAGTTTTATGTGTAAGTTAAAAGCAGATTCCCACTCTGGTTCATAATCTACATGATGTCCCATTTGACGTACAACAGCATCCATACCTTGCATGCAAAAAAACAACTTAAGTATTTGAGCTACACCAACCAAAAAGCCTTTTCGCAACTCTTCAGTCCAGACTTCTGGTTTTGCACTTAAAAGATAGCGAAGGTCATATAATATATATTGTGCCCTTTTAAATGCCAGCATATTATGATTATTTTGTGAGCTGTTCTGATTCTGTCTTGATTTTGTGAAAACTAATTTTCCTTCATCATTACATTTTTCAGCACACTCTGATAAAAATGTATTCATTAGAATGAACAAAACATCTTGTTCTGCAATTAAATAATGTGCCAGGGTGGGAACAGTAAATATTTGCACACTCAATGACGAGATTGAAAAAGAAGGGTCATGGTCATCTTTAATAAAATCTTTCATAACTGATCCGTAATTCTTAGTGAATACTGTTGCAAGAGCCTTTTTGCTCTGGTATTCTAATAACATTCCAGATATAAACAAACGATGCCAACTTGATCTAGCCGCTTTCCAAAGATAAAAGTCTCTTTGTAGTATACCCTCAATAATTGATGAACCATCAGCTCTTTCCTTCAAAGCTACCTCACTAAATATTAAGCGTAATCCCTCTAATTGGCTTAAAAATCCTTGCAACCTAATTTGAAAGTGTTATTATATACCAAACATTATCTTATCAAACAATCAATATAAGAAATACCGACCAAGATAACATTTTTAAAGCATGAATTTGATGTGAGATTACATCACAGTGCATAACTACAACTTTAAGTGGAACTGATGCATGTCTTGCAGTATATCGCTCAATCTCTGTTTTCAATGTATCACAGTGTTGAAAAGTAGCACATTTTACTACTGCTCTGCCTTCGCGATCAATATTTGTAACATACTCAATAGCATCTTTCTGAGAGCATTGAATTACTCGAATGAGAGTATGAATAACCTGAAATTTATTTCTCTGGATTAATTGAAATGATTCCAAATTGATTAAAAACAATTCTCTGAAAGTTTTAGCTCTTAATATTAACTTTCAGATAGTGCACAATTCAATCAAACTTCGTATGGAAATAGCAAGGAAAAAATTTTGAAAATTAAAAAAAAATTTTGTAGATATAACTTAGCGACAAATGAATTAAAAGTGAAAATTCGGGTCATTTTGTATTGAAGATTCGACGCTTTGCAAAATTTTTGAAAAATTTTTCATGCTATTTCCATACAAAACAGCGTTCTATCTAAAAGCTAATCACAATCATTGCATTTTAATTTATAGACAATATTTGATGTGCGTTCTAAACTAGTGGGTGATTTGAGGTTGGAAAAAAGAGAGCTAAGGGTTATCACCCACTAGTTTAGAACGCACATCAAATATTGTCTATAAATTAAAATGCAATGATTGTGATTCCATTTACATAGGTGAAACTGGACAGATTTTAATAAAACGACTAAAACAACATGATAATAACTCAAAAAACCCACGACAAAATCAAACAAATGATAAATAACAGAACATATAAAAAATTTTAAACATTCTTTTAACTTTTATAACGCTAGTATACTTCATCACGAACGGAACATTATTCAGAGAAGATTTGCTGAATCTTGTCTAATCAGCATTTCTAAATCTTGCATTAATAAAAGGTGTGATGCCTCTTTACTCTGTGAAAATTATCAGGTGATACTCAATAATATTTCCAAATTTGTTTCCCCTTAACTAGCTTAATTCCGAACCTGTAAACCTATCCTTACGCGGCACGATCCCAAACTTTGAATCTTAGCCTCTTCACCCATACTTCGGAACACTGATTGTAAAAAAACTCGCCAACTATCCTTTTCGGTCTCTCCAAACAATTTTTAAGCACATGTGACATTACTGCCTCGGGAATGTACGCATAAACTACTTTTTCCGTGAAAAATATATTATATTCAACAAATATTTTGCTATGCTCTGTTCAACAAAAACAAAAAAACAAGTTAGTGTATATATGATAGTGCAAAATTATGTGCCATACGCTAGTTACTGATTTAAGACCTTATTTATGTAAGTTACCTTTGTTGTTTATATATATATATATATATATATATATATATATATATATATGTATATGTATATATGTATATATACATTTGTGTATGTATATGAGTATATATATATATATATATATATATGTATTATGTGTATATATATATGTATATATGTACGTGTTCATACATGTATATCGTATATATATATATATATGTCTGTTTATATGTATATTTATGTATATATATTACGCTTTTGTATGTTTGTATATATTTCTTTTTACTTTTCATTTCTTATGTTTGTCTCTCTGTTTAGTTATAATTGTTATTGTTACAATTATGATACTTGTATCTATAGTTCTTTTTCCAAATTGTCATTTTTTCCTAGTTTATATTAATTTTTCAATGTTCATTCTGTAGATCCACTGATGATGACATAAAATCCTATGTCGAAACGTTTGGAAAAAATTAAAGATTAACTTCTAAATCTTTGCCTTTTATTTGATGTATTGCCCTTGAAGAACTTACTCATATTTCTCAACATCAAAACTAACTTCTTTAATATATATATATATATATATATATATATATATATATATATACTAGCTGACCCGGCAAACGTTGTTTTGCCATAAAAAATATGAGTATGAAAATAACTAATTGATTGCAAATTGATATGTAAGTGAAAGGGTCAGCTAACAAAAAACATGAATAGTTTATCCACTGCAAAGCACGTCACATATAAATGTTCCTAGATAATATTAATAGTCTTTGCAAGAACCAACCTAATCTGAAACTGATTCTATTTATATCAATTAGCACATTTACAGTTTCAAGAGTTTGATATATAATTACCGCGCTTTTGATTAATTCATTAATTTTCGATTTACGAAGTAAAACCTGGTAATTCATTTCTAAATTATGTTGTTATGTGGCATGCCCAGCAAATTGACTAATATTTATGCTTCAAATTCTTATTGATAGTATATTTTTTATGATGTATATATGTTTACCTATTACATACTTATAGTATGCAATTAATATAACTTTGATTCATTGATATTTTAATTATTACTATATTTCTTAGCAGTAATAATATATATTTTAAATATTTTTCATTTCCTGTGTTAATTTGTTTAACGCCAGATCCAACTATTTTTATATTTTAATTATCGCTACTGCCACCGACCATGAAACATATATTTATTAAATTGAAATTCAGTCAAACATATTTAATTTCATAAACAATACTATTAATATTTAAAAAAAAAATTTAAGAATCTCACAAACATATATTGCTTTCTAAACTTTCCACCAATAATTTCTATCAATTCAAAATTGGCAACATAAAGTTACATAATATTTATTAATTTATTTAGCAGATAATAATATATGATCATCAAGTGGACTCACATAGAAACGCGGTATAAACCGATGCATTCGAATATTACATTATAATCATATAACAACTTTTCTTTGTACTGTTTCAGTGTTGCGTATGCCTCAGCAGATAAGGGTCTACTGTACCCAACGTTATCGCTCGTATTGTTCGTAAGTCGTTGGTCTAGATAAGATCAAACTGATTATACGATTCACTTGACAAACATTATTGAAATTACTAAAAATATAATATTTCGGCTATAAATTAAAACCTTTAATATACCCTATATCCTAAATGAAATCTATTTGCACAAAACAAATTTTAAATCGGTGAGCAAAACAAATTTTAAATCGGTTCAGTTCATTTTAGGCGTCCATCGCGGACGACAGCTGTGATACTAAATTTATATATATATATATATATATATATATATATATATATATAGGGGTGTATATCATATAGGGTGTCCCTTAATATGGACATTTTTGAATTTCCTTGCTCTCAGGGGGCTCAATGGTTCCAAATTGATAAAAAACAATTCTCTGAAAGTTTTTCATATTAAAGCTCTTATATTAACTTTTAGATAGCGCGCAATTCAATCAAACTTTGTATGGAAATAGAATAACTTTGAGACAATTGTTTTTTATCAATTTGGAACTATTTGAGCCCCTGGGAGCAAGGAAATTCGAAAATGTCTATATTAAAGACCACCCTAATATATATATATATATATATATAGAAAGAATGAAAAAAAAAAACTTGTAGATTAAGTGTGAAACTTTCATTTGTTTCATTGTAAATGTTAGAATAAATGATAAATAATATACTTATAAACAAACTTATTTAATATGGTAATTTGTTGTATATTTGGAAACATATCCTTTATAATTCCATATAAATGCCATTCCATATTTAGGGTTTCTATATTTGCATATATTTGTGTAATACCACGCAAATAAGAAGCTTATATATATTTAAACCATAAATAAGTTATAACAATCTCTAATAAGTTATAATAATCTCTTCTACTAAAGTACCGATATTATATCATCAAGCATTGTTATTTCATCTTATAACCAACTAAGTCAATTTATATTAATTAATATTGATTGTATGCTTATTAGTACATAATATAAAAGTCACCTGTTCAAATGTGTGTGTTTCATCATTGTATAAAACTGTACACATAAGTGTCAGGTGTCTCATATAAAGCCATGCTGTCAAACTTTTCAGGTCTGATGGTTGGCATCAAATCACTTGGTAAACCAGGAACATGTTCCAAAGTCAATAAATTATAACAATACCACAAAACTGCTTCTAAGGTAATACGCATTCTAGCTAAAATATCAGGTGGTAGTCTAGAATCTTTTGAGTTTTCTACTAATGCACCGGCCTACAACAAAAAATAATTCAACATGAGAAGTTGAAAATTTATAAACAAAAATAAATCAAACATATTTCTACAATATGAGTATCACAGAAGGGTTCACGTCTCCAAGCTTCTTTATCACCACAATCACAGCATCCTCCTCCATTGGATGTGCCCATTTTATATTTATGATTTCTATGTGCAGAATGTTTAAAACAATCCACGCATAATACACATGTGGGATCCATTCCTAATAATAAATTTTGATTAGTTAACATTATGACTACTATAAAAAACATCATATTTAATGCAAAGTTACCACATTCTCTGCAACTATTGTTGGTTTCGCCCATTTTAAATACCCTGCCACAAACTGAAGGTGGATTATCTAATTTGCATAACTTTGGTAAAATATCATATGGATCACCATCGAAAATAAATTCCTCTAGATATTTAAATAAATAAACATTTTTTTGAGGATCATCTGTACCAACATCTAAAAAATAAACCCAATGTATTAAATATCATGCATTGAAATTTGTTTAGAAATATCATTTAGGTATTTTAAATATTTCAA